AGGAGGAAGAAGAAGAAGAAGCAGAAGCAGAAGAAGAAGAAGCAGAAACATAAGAAGAAACATAATAATGACAAGGAGAGGAGGAGGAGGAGGAGGAGGAGGAGGAGGAGGAGGAGATGGCCACCCTTGGGCGCGATGCCCTTGCTACTGTCGGACCTGGGACAGAGGAACATCCTTCAAGAACACGAGGCCCTCCGCCGGCCGACACGCGCATGACAGCCAAGGGAAGCCCCCTTTTTCCCAGGATGCGCGAGAGCATCCAGCACACACGAAAACACGTTGGGATACACTCCCCGAGTCGACCTCGATCCTATATGTATATGTATGGATGTGTGTATATATATATATATGTATACATATGTGTGTAAACATATATATACATGTATATATGTATGTATCGGTGCCACCGTAAGCCTCTCTACACGAGAGCGCACATCAGCAGGGGCTGACTTCACTGCACGGGGTCCCGGCATGCGTTCCCGCGTGCCAAACGCGGGACCAACGCCGTGCCGACCGGGCGCCCGGCGTGCTCCCACAAGGGCTGCGGGTGCTTGCCTTGGCGCGTGCACTGCCTTGAGCTTTGTCCTCCCTCCTCCCCCCTCGCACATCCCTCCTCCCTCCTCCCTCCTTCCTCCTCATCCTCCTCCTCCTCCTGGGCCCGCTGGCGCCGTCGGGCGAAGGGCCCGTGCCGCGGGCCGCTTTGCCGACACGGCCAGCCGCCACAGGCATCCCTGGTTGGAGGCCAACCGCGAGAGACAGGAGTTCGCGGGCGATGGTCCTCTCCCAATCCCCGGGTTCCGCCCGGAAGGTTTGGCCGCTCAGAAAGATGGGAAAGCCCTGGGATACACCCCAAGGGGGCTATTCGGACGCACCCCTGTCGAGGATGGACACCCCCCCATCGCACATCCCAGGGTTGGGCTCCAAATGTCTGGTCGATTCGGAAACACCACGAAGCCTGGGATAGGGATCGACATATCCCCAGACAAGGACATGCACCGTGGTGGTATGCTGCGGCGCCATCAGTTTCTGCCGCTTCTCTTGCCTCGCCGTGTCGCCCACGTAGTGACATAGTCTGACTGCTCTGGCCGCAAGAGACCCTGTGTACCGAGCCAGTGCAATTGCATCTTTGATTTTCGCCCGGTGATGGTCTGCTGGCACGTCCGCAATTTTGAGATTGGACGCTGCACTATATGCAAACATATCTGCCCAGCTGTTACTTATCGCGTGTGAGGCGCGGTCGCCATGCTTTCTGGCGAACCCGATGATGTTCTTGCGGCGGGGGACCCACTCCAACAATTATCGTCATCATTTTAACACGTGCGAGATCTCTTGCACCCCAAGCTCGCACACTTGCTCCTGGAACAGCTGGGGTTCGAGTTCCATGAGTTGCCTTTGTTGATGTAATCTAAGCGGTCTGAAACTATCGCCCCTGGTATCTGCATGAGCTCAAGCGATGTCCTGCCGGCGCGTCGTGCGGCACGGGGAACCGATTAGAATTAAATCGGGCCTGTCCCTCTACAGGAGGGAAATGCAAACATAGTCAAAGATAGTCTGGGGACGAGTTGTTTCAAATCATTGTTTGACTATTTTGGCGTAGTTTTTTACACTATTTTTCATTTTCCGCCCAACATCCCCCTGTAGGACGAATCGCAAAACCAGCCTGAGAACACAGCTGCACCATCGCCCACCCCGTCCTCGCAAGGGTTGGGCGTGCCCTGCGAAGGCCAGGACCATCGGTTAGTAGAGTGTGGTCGCAATTACCGTCAGCGTCGCCCCACTTTCAGCACGGGCATCTCGTCCTGCGCTTAGATCGGGCCTGTCCCTCTACAAGAGGAAAATCCAAAAATAGTACAACATAGTCAGGGGACGATTTTCGGACTATGTTTGAATCTGTTTGGGCATTTGAGGGGTGGTGTCTATTTGTCGTTCAAAATCCGCCTGTAGGGGGACACGCCCGACCTAATCCTACGCTGGAGGATGGAGAATGGGGTCTTTTGGCACGCAGTGCGTGGGCTCGAAGATTGCAGCATCTCCCAAGTTGTTGTCGATCTGCCCCTGCTGCGACTTCCTGATCTCGAAAACACGGTTGGGAGCAGTGTGGTATACGAGGTCATTAGTTTGAAGTAGCGGTTCGCAGGTATTCCATTGATGCGTGAGAGTGCCACATTGAGTTCCACGAATTGTTTTTTTTCGCGGCGATACAATACCCGTATCCATTGTCGAATTTGGGCACAGTAGCGTTCCTGACCACAGATTCTTGGACATTCTTATTTGCGGTCCTGACGGTGAACGAAGTATTGATCCCTCACAGCTCGTCTCCAGATCTGCCCGTCACCAAAAAGAACAGGCACATGTTGAAACACCTTGTCCATCTGCCATCGATGCAACTATGCAGCAACCAAAACTTCCAAGTCTCGAGGTGTGCTACTTGTAAGCTGGGTCGCAAACCCCTGGTCGTCGACGAACGTAGCTGGGCCAGCAAATGGTCGCGAAATCCGTTTCAACGTAAGCCGCGCTGATTACGCATGACCTCTGGTTGCTTGCCAAGTGCTCTGAGGACCTTGAAACTCGTTTCGAGCATGTAGCCAACTATGATGCACATCTGACGGAACCGCTCGACCATCCCATAAACATTTGCGCACCGCTTCAGCAACATAATGGAAAAAAACACAGTTTGGCCCATATCGGGCATCATGTTGAGTCGAAAGGTAGAGCGTGAGTGAGCCATTGCGTGGGGCACCGACCACTCCACCCGCGAGCGTGCGAAACTGTTTGAGCACCGTGTCTGCTGTGATCGAGACTCCAGTGCCGTGCCCTGCTGCAGGGAATAATCCAGCACGCCAAATGATTGAGACCTGATCGTGCACTGCATCGCGCTTCATCCCAACTACCCTTCCGAGCTTTCAACTTCTTAGTCCTAGTTCTCTCTCTCTCTCTTTCTCTCTCTCTCTCTCTCTCTCCTGCTCCCGTGCCGTCCGAGCTCTGTGCAGCTCGTGTCCCAGATAGCGATTCGCGTTCGTCGACCTGGGCTCCTGCTTGGCAACGTTGGAGCCCTTTGACAGCCTCGACAGTTGTGGCCACGAACCCCGACTTGGCCATCTGGAAACTGAGACCAAGGGGGGCCGCATTTAGCGTGAAGTTACATGGTGACCATTGGGGACCAGACGTGTGCGCCTGCATGGCCATCCAACTTAACCTCATGGGGCATCCGAGGGCCTGGGCGTCTTCGTGTATAGCACTTTGACGTATCGGGGAAGACCGCGACAGCATGTTGTCTGCGAGCGCGCAATGCTTCCGCCGATCTTGTAAGGTCGAATCGCTCGATGATCTACGGGCCCTACGGGCAGTGGCGACCCCGTCCCGTCAGGAGGAACCAGGGCAGCAATCGGACGGGGCTAGGAGGAGGAGGAGGAAGAGGAGGAGGAGGAGGAGCAGGAGGAGCAGGAGGAGGAGGAGGAGGAGGACTGCCCTGAGAAGCATGGATGAGGGTGAGTTGTTTGTTCGCGCAAGTGGAGGGGCCGCCGAGCTCGGCCCCATCTCGTCAACAGCGTGCTCAGTCAGGCGATCTGCCCCGCGCCTCCACTCGGTTTCGGCATCGTGCGTATGCCCGCGACGGTCTTCAGACCCCCACCATACGGGAAACGAATTGCCGCTCCGGCACCCTGACTGGCGGACCGGGGCCCCGCCAATAGTGGAAGCCTTTATATTTCTCCGCAGCACCCGCCGCACGACGACGACGACGACGTCGACGACGATTACGACTACATTGTGACCACGACTACGATACAGCTACGGCTACGGCTACGACTAAGGACTAAGACTACGAGTAGTTAGCGACCACAACTACTGATGCGACTACGCTTACGATTACGATTAGGAAGATGAGAGGAGGAGGAGGAGGAGGAGGAGGAGGAGGAGGAGGAGGGGCGGAGTTTATCCCCCGCCAAGAGCAACGGGGGGAGGAGTGCACAGCCAAAGGCTTCTCTCGGTTAGTTCCTTGGGAAGTCGATCGCTGGGCTAGTGCAGCAGTTCCTCGCAGCTCCCGCCGAGCCCACCAGTCGTCGCAAGCGCTTTGCCACTCGAGAACCAGCATCGGCGCGGGGACATCTGAACCTGCCCTCTGGCCGTGTGGCGAGAAGAGACAAGACAACCTTCTCGGCCCATCCTGCCACCGTGCGCGCGATCCGAGCCGTCGGTTTCTGAGATGCTCGTCGGGGCCCTGTTGGGGGACTGTTTAGAGGCGCCTTGGGAGCTGTTTGGGGGCCTCTTGAGGCGTTTTGAGGGGCCTCTCGGGGGTCTCTTGAGGCCTCTTGGGGGCCTCTTGGCGAGACGCTGGGGAGCCAGGGGTAGCCGCGCCAAGCCCAGGGAGATAAAGAATTTCAGCTCCGGGCCCCTAGAATTTCAGCTCCGGGCCCTCCGGGAGATGGAGAATTTCAGCTCAAGCCTGAGGATTGAGGCTCCAGAGATTAGGCAAAGGACCTCAGGACACGCCCACCCCGTGCCCAGAGGCACGGTGGCGGATTCAAGGGAAATGGGGGGCGACATCCTGCCGCACGCAGCCAATTTCGGCCCCGCTGGCATGCGTTGGAAGCGTTGGCATGCCTGGTTGTTGCAGATTTGGGGCTTCCCCGAGATCCGACGTTGCGAAACACATGCCGAACCGAAGAAACTCACGACAGGAGCCCTGGACTCCATCCTGCCGCCGCACGTTTCGAGCCGCGCCGGCCTGGCATGGTGCCTCAGGGCCCCAAATAACCTGGGCCAGAACGCGCCCCGTGCGAAACTGTTGCAACGTCCACAGACAGGCCTCGGAAAAAATAGCGAACACTCATGTTATATTCATCTGTCAACGCCTCCCCCTCCCCCAAATGTTCGAGGTTGGCGGTGGGTCTGATGAGTCGCACCTCGACCGCAGCCTCCCCCGCGCATGCCAACCTTGAGCTTGAGGGGGGAGGGGGAGCGTTCAGTAATTGTTTCCCTCTACTGGATCTCGGGGTGAGATCGAGGGGGTTCTCCGCCTTCGCCATGTCGCTTCTGGCCGACGCCCTCGCCTGCTGGCGGCCTTGGGACTCGGCGCTGAGGGGTCCGGCGCGGCGTGCTCCCGAGGCAGCCTGCTCGCCGAGCAGAGTAGCGGAGGCGTCGCGGGCGAGGCCTGCGGACCGCGAGGGCACCAGGCCGGCAGAGGAGGGAGGGAGGGAGGGAGTGGAGGGAGGGAGGGAGAGAGGGAGGGAGGGGAGGAGGGATGGAGGGAGGGAGAGGGAGGAGGAGGAGGGGAGGAGGAGGAGGAGAGGAGGAGGAGGGAGGGAGAGGAGGAGGGAGGAGGGAGGGAGGAGGAGAGGAGGAGGGAGGAGAGGAGGAGCAGGAGGAGGAGGAGGTGGAGCAGGAGGACGAGGAGGAGGAGCAGGAGTACGAGGAGGAGGAGGAGTATGAGGAGCAGGAGGAGAAGAAGGAGGAGAAGGAGGAGGAGGAGGAGCGGCTCGGGCGTGCGCCGAGGGCCGCGGTGGCGGTGCAGCCTGCCCGCCTCGCGATCAGCCGGGCGGCGCCTGGCGCGGCCGACGGCGGCGCGGCCTCGCCGCGGAAGCCCGACGGGCTCGGCGCGGGCCTCGACGGCGATGAGTCGTCGGCGAGCACGCAGTCGGCGACCACGCAGGCTTAGACCGCCGTGCACTGTGGGAACCCATCCTCCTCGTCCTCCTCCTCCTCCTCCTCCTCCTCCTCGTCCTCCTCCTCCTCCTCCTCCGCCTCCTCCTCGTCCTCCTCCTCGTCCTCTTCCTCTGTTTCTGTTTCCCAGAGCGGAGGTGGTCGGTGACACGCCTCAGCCAGCAAGAATCCGCCCCTCACTCAGGAGGTTGAACCATTTCCCATGCCGCGCGCCGTCGGTGACAGGCACGGGGCGGCAAAGCAAGCAGCGGGCGCGCCGCTGCCACTCACGGTCATCTTTCACGCACGCAGGACGGGCAGAAGGTGTCGTCGCAACTGTCCTCGCAGATGTAGATGACGCCATCTACGGGAATCATGATGCCGCAGGCGGCGCAGGGCAGCGGGTCGTCGAACGGATTCGAGTCTCTGTCCAGCACGGGCCCGTTGAGCAGAGCCTGCGGAGTCCCACCTTCACCGGCCCGTCCTGCGCGAGCTTCACGGCCAACTGCACGAAGGGCTGCTCGCACGCCGACGCCGCCCTCGTCCGCTTCAGGGCCGCGGCGGGGAGGGCGACCCACTCCAAGTACTCGATCAGCTTCTGCTCGGAGTCCTGGCGCTCGAGGTCCAGCTTCACGATGGACTCGGAGCTCTCCTCCTCGATGCCCTGGATGACCTCCGCGTCGGCCTGCGGTCCCTCGAGGCTGCCGCTGTCGTCGTCGGGGGGCTCGTCGGACTCCATCTGCGGCTCGTCTGCCTGGCGGTGCGCAAGCTTCCAGCCCGCCGCCAGGCCCTGGCCGAAGGCGCAGGCCTCGCCGATGGGGTCGCTCCGCAGCCAAGCTCCTGGCGCCAGCACCGGCGTCGCCTCCGCGAGGCATTGCACGGCGTGCCCGCTCTCAGGAGGGCACGGCACGCACTCGAAAGGCACGTCCACGATGCCGCCTGTCTTCGCGAACTGGCATTCCAGTCTGGGCCCCGCGGTAGCCCAGGCCAAGTCCTCGGGGGACGCGCGCGCGAAACCCCTCGCTGGCACGCGAGCCGCATGCCACGCAGCGTTCCGCTGGCGGCGGCGGCCGCCTGGAACTGGCAGGCCCCCGGCGAGCAGCATCAGCGCAGGTCTCGCCGCGATCTCGCGGTCGCGCCATGAGCCCGGCGCCACCAGGCCGTCCGCTTGGAACTCGCGGAGGGCAGCCTCGCAGGCATGTTGGCGCCTGAGTCGCGCGGCGCGCCTCGCTGCCGAAATTCCAAGGGCCAGTATCTCCTGAGCCCGCATCCCACTGGGCCGCCATGCGGCTGGCAGCGCCCCCGCAGCCATGCCAACCTTCTCCTCCAGGCCGACCTCCGACATCGCGGGGGCCGCGAAAGGGGACTGGGACTGAGCCGCTCTCGAGCGCAGAAGCAGCAGGAGAGACAACCAGCAGCCAGCCCGCCTGGCGCCCAAGGCAGGCTTGAGCCAAAATGGCTACGGAGCCTCGTCCTCTTCCTCCTCGTCCTCTTCCTCCTCCTCCTCGCTGGAACGGCACCTTTGGAGATATGGCACCAATGTATGTGGCCCAACTATCGTGTTCGTACTCGGGCTGGGGTGGGAGCTGGAACTAAGTTGATATCGCCACAAGGTTTCTGGTTTCTTCTCGGCCTGGGCTTAGCAAAAATGCGGGAGTACCAGGAGGTGCCACTGTACTGGAACAAGTCTAGGGGCGCGAACATTCCCAAAAAGCTGGAGGAGGGCCCTAAGGGGGTTCGAGTGGTTCACGTCCTGCCCTTCGTGGGCAAAGCTTTTTTCTCCAACAAGCTGAAGGTTCAACCGACGGTGGCCGACCACGGCTTCGTAAAACATCGACGGCGAGAAAATGCAGTACTAACTACCTTAACTACAGGATGGCGGGCTAGAAGGATGGGGATTACTTATTGCAACACGTTTAAGGACATGAGCAATGCTTTTTCAAGTTCGACCTGGTCTGAATTAGACCAGACTGTTTCTCTTGCGGCAGCGGAGTACGACCAAGGCCTCTGTCGTCAGCGCTACCGCTCGGCCATGATTGAGCTTGACGCACAGGAGGGGCCCCTCCTCGTGCGACCACGGTGCGGAGGTCCCATGGGAGATCCTTTTACAGTGCAGGGCTTCCTGGGCACCTTCTCGAGAGCAGTACTAGGTTGGAGCTATTCACTTCTTACAGCAGATGAGAGGTCACGAGATCTCGTCTCTTCGTGGGCCGGCCACGCGGCCGACTTGAGTTTGACCAAGTATGCCGATGACCTCCAGAAGATGATACTTGCCGATGAGGGCAGTACACTATGCGATTTCTTAGCTAAGCTTGGGTGGGTGGATGGTCTTCTAGATGAGGCTTTAGAACCATATGGATACGGGCAAAACGTGGGCAAGCAAGAGATGTTATTCTATTTCGCACACCATGATTATCAAGCACGTCGCACACTCAGGAAACGTAGATCGACAATCCAGGGGAAGATTTCTGACTGTGTTCGGTACCTTGGGCCTTTTCTGAAATCTCGGGACACTGCACATCATGAGGTTTCTAGATGTTGTGAGATGGCAAGAAAGGCTTTTTATCGATTGGGCGGGGTGTGGTCACTAGCATTATCCTACAAATGGCGTCGTACTTTATTGCAGGGCCAAGTGTTCAATACCCTAATTAATGGCCTCGAACCGTTCGTGCTCCAGCAGAGTGATTATGACAGTCTGGATCGGTGCTTGGCCGCTCTATGTCGTACAGCAATGAGAGGTGTTGCCACCAACCAACGAGATGATGGCACAGTGCGCACTCTCACGAATTTACAGGTACTGCGTCATTGGCGTCTGACTGGAAGCAAAACAGAGCTCATCATTCGTCGCCTGAAGGTCTACCAGTCGTGGGCCGCCCGTCCTGCTTGGCACGCACAGCCTCTCTGCGCGATGTTCGGCACGCTCGGGATTGAGGAGAGGCTTGGATGCGAGCCTCAGCTTCAGGAGGGAGTTCCAACGGCCTCGGCTTCTCCGTGGGTGAAACAACTAGTTAGTGACCTGGAGTTTGCCTCGGAGCGCTTGGAATACTATGCGATTGAAGAGCTTCTTTTAGATTTGAGGATCCTTTCAGACTCGGAGGCCGCAGAGGACTTTGTAAAAATCGACTTCACAGAGCTCAGGGCCAGGGAGTTCGGGGTCAACATTCCTCCTCCAGGGTTTCGTATGGTATTACTCAGGAGGGGGACGAGGTGGAGGACAAGAGGACGGGGGAGGAGGGCAACTACGTTTGCAAGATCGTGGACGACAAGGGCAACATATGCAATGCAGTGTGTCATGATCGCAAAGCGTTGTTAAACCACATGCGTGCACATCACCATGTACGAAACCTTCCAGCCGTCCTAACACCATGCAATATATGTATACATTGTAGGCAAATATTCTCAACAAGGGTGACCGCAGCTCGCCATCTTCTTGGGTCCGTTCTCAGAAGCAATTGCTCGACGAGGGGTCCTACATCGTTGACGGAGCTTGTTCATCCCCAATCTTTCGATTGTCCAGTGTGTGATTACAAAGGTGCTGATTTGGATTCATACTGCGGCCATTTGAGCTCACATCTCCCGTGGAAGCTACAGCCTTATCGACCGAGGCCTCCGCCTCCTGAGGGTTCGGCCACCACTGGTGCTGAGAGCCATGCCCGAGCTGGCGATGCCATCGTGGTACAACCCAGCGCAGGCGAGGCGCCCCGAGGTCGCCGAGGAGCAGCGCAGCAAGCAGGCGAAGGGCAGCAGCGAGGGCAAAGGAGAGAAGCAGTATGGCAAGCTGCTCTTGCTGGTGGCGCGGCTTCTCCTGGCGACCACTCGTGGCATGGCGGACCTCGCGGCGGCGGTGTTCATCACCTACGAGATGAGCGCGGTGCAGGGGTTCCCAGCAGCGCTCGTGGCAGCGGGCAAGCAGTACGACGTCAAGAGCAAGGAGCTGGCGGACCGCGCGAAGGCGGGCGAGAACGTCGGGCGCGGAGCACATCGAGGACGAGGGCCGCCACACTTGCACATCTTCGTGGCGGGCATCCACTACATCGCAACGAGGACCCACGCCGAGGGCGACAAGGCCGAGGAGGAGAAGCAGCTGAAGGCGGACGCGGAGGAGTTCTGGACCAACACCGTGGTGAACAGCGAGATTCTGAAGCTCGGAGCAGCGGTGAAGTACGTGCGCCTCAAGTTGCTCAAGAAGGACGAGAGCGACCAACGTTGCCTGGTGATCATGCACTTCGACGTGGACGGCCCGATCGGCAAGCAGGCGCAGGACCTTTTCTTGAGGATTCTGGAGACAGAAGGGGGGAGCGGCTTCACGGCAGCGCGCCGCGGGGGCCACTGGAGAGAGAGAGAGAGAGAGAGATATCGTCTGCCGTGAGCGGCAAGTGATGTGGCGCAACAGTGAGAGACTGGCTTCTTTGATCGAGCGAGGTTTGATTTCCGATGAGGTCGCAGGGCGGGCCTTAGCAGGAGAGAGAAGCATGCCATCATCATATGATCAGAGTGAGTTGCCAAGCATTCCAACAGTAGTGCTGCCTCGTAGAGGCTCTGGCCGAGGGAGGGGCAGGGCGGTGAGTCGGGGGCGTGGGAGGGGAAGAGCACCGACGAGCGAGAGCCAGCAGTAAGAGCTAAAAGGCTTACTCGTGCTGTCTCCCGTGCCGTCCAAGCCGACCCTCAGCAGAGGTCTTGTGCCTCAGAGGTGTCGGCAGGCCAGTGCCTCACTTGAGGATTGTGACCAGATTTCGTTTTCCATAAGTCCGTGAGGGTCGAAGCTACCCGTACCCAGAATCCCGTGCCACGCCGATGCTCAGTCTGACAGCTGCGGATTCCATGGGCTCGTCTCGTCTCCTCCTCCTCCTCCTCCTCCTCCTCCTCCCTCCTCCTCCTCCTCCTCCTCCTCTTCCTCCTCCTCCTCCTCCCGTCCAGGGGTCTCAGGGTTGGTTCTCTTGTGGAAGGTTTTTTGTGGACTGGCCTCCATTGGACCCTCGTGATTCCGTATTTAGCGTCGATTAGCGTCCA